AAGTAAAAAAGTCCCCTTTACAGAAGTGTAGCCTTTTATACCAAAAGCAAAAAGCGCCCCAACGGCTGGGATTAACCCAATCTAACGGCTGCAGGGATACCGTTTCAAATTCGACGGTTAACCATTAAACGACACCGTTTCAAACTTGACGGTTCGCTTTTCAAACCTGCCCGTTGGACTGCTACAGTTATCTTTTTGCAGCGGCATTAATTACACACGTCATTCAGAGGACAGCTGTCGCGTCGCGTGTCGAGTCTTAGTCAGACTTCGTAAACGGGCCCACTTAAGCCCATTTCAACACTTCTTCCCACTTTTGCACATTTTCAGTTTTGGCAAGTATTTTACTTCGGCTACAGCCTCAGTGACTTAGTCACATATTTCACTTCGGCTACGGCCACAGTGACTTAGTCACATATTTCACTTCGGCTACGGCCACAGTGACTTAGTCACATATTTTACTTCGGCTCCGGCCACAGTGACCCAGTGTCACTCATTTTACTTCGGCTCCGGCCACAGTGACCCAGTGTCACTCATTTTACTTCGGCTCCGGCCACAATGACCCAGTGTCACTCATTTTGCTTCGGCTCCGGCCACAATGACCCAGTGTCACTCATTTTACTTAGGCTACGGCCACGGTGACCTTGTGACACATGTTTCACTTCGGCTACGGCCACAGTGACTTAGTCACATATTTTACTTCGGCTCCAGCCACAGTGACCCAGTGTCACTCATTTTACTTTGGCTCCGGCCACAATGACCCAGTGTCACTCATTTTACTTCGGCTCCGGCCACAGTGACCCAGTGTCACTCATTTTACTTCGGCTCCGGCCACAGTGACCCAGTGTCACTCATTTTACTTAGGCTACGGCCACGGTGACCCTGTGACACATGTTTCACTTCGGCTACGGCCACGGAGACCCAGTGTCCTGTTCCACTTCGGCTACGATCACAGTGACCCAGTGTCATTCATCTTACTTCGGCTACGGCCACGATAACCCAGTATCACTCATCTTACTTCGACTATAGTCATTTATTCAGGAAAAGTCATGGATTTTTATCTCCATAGCTCATCTTAATTACTCTTTCTTTCTGCCCCTATTACTTCCACCAACGTCATTCACAAGTGAATGACTTCCGGGGAGGGGGGGGAATAGTGTAAGGGTAAGTCCAGAGCTTCCCGCTAGAATAGCTACACGGCAGTTACGATGGACATCCTTGTATCTAGATATATCTCAATCTCCCGGTCCTGAAATAACTGCTTGGAGATACATATCACATCCCGGATATTTTGTTAGATACATATCACATCCCGGATATTTTGTTTAGCTCAATCTCCCGGTCCCGAAATAATTGCCTGGAGATACACATTGGATCCCGGATATCTTGCTTGGCATCTTGATTGGCACGCCGCGCGGATTCTGCATCGGAATATATAAATACCTCTTAAGGGCCACGCCAAAAGGTAATGAAAAAACCAACCCTAAACTCCTTGTTCCTTCGCTTAAAAGGTAGCCTTGATTATTGCTGACTTAAGCATCGGAGTGTCTACCCCAAGATCCATCTCGGGGCTTTGCAGGTCAATCCGGAGTGCAGATCCGAAGTGAAGAAGGACGTCTGGTTTGGTGCAGTTACACAACCAAATCCCCCGCACACTTTCTCCCTCCAGGCCCCTTTGCCATCCCCATTGTCGGCCCCTTCCTATGGCTCCACAAACTCACATCCACCTTTGAGATGGAACTAATTCTCCACAAACTCCATGCAAAGTTCGGCCCAATGGTCACCCTCAAGATCAGTTCTCGCCTTACCATCTTCATCGC